AAAATATGCATGATGCTAACATTGATTGTCTTTTCACAGATGACAAACAAGTTTTTCTGTTACAGAAGTTTCAGAAGTTCCTGGATGGAAAAGGGATAGACCACAAAGTTTCTGTTTCGCCAGAAGCGTGGAACAGAGGGGTCTGTGTAAAAGTGAACAAAGAATTGCAAAAGGGGATGCATGCGCAATTGCTGAGTTCACATTTGCCACATGAATATTGGGCCGAATCGCTAGCGTCCTATCTTCATGTGTGGTTGAGAAAAATCTCAACAGAGTTGGGATGTTCTCCTTTTGAGAAGCTGTTCAAAAGAAAACCTTCTGTTGCCTATTTTAAGGTTTTCGGGTCTCATGTGAGAACAGAAGCTCCAGGTGGAGTGAAGAATGCCAGAGGCATTTTTGTGGGTTATGAAAAGGGTTTCTATAGAGTAATTTTGTCTGAATCTGGTCAGGTGATTCTCACAAAGTTTCTAGAGAGTGCTCCAGAAAAAGAGCGGGTTGCAGAACAAACATTTCCCACAGAGAGCAATTCAGATGATGATGATTTTTCTGATGTCACAGATTACAGTGGTACTGATGATGATGACAGTGATAGCTCAGAGAGTTCAGTTGTAACAGTCATTGAGAGGAAATCTCACACGATGGATAGACCTTCACAGATGAAGGAAGAACCACTGTTAGCCAATGCTACTGGTTCTCAACAAAGTCCAGAGGTTGAACCAGTGAGCACAGATGATCAGCACCTCATACGCAGGTCTGAGAGAGTTACAAAGGGTGTACCACCAAAGAGGTACTCAAAAGAGTTTGCTAACATAGCTGTTGCATGTGTTGCTATTGTTAACAACTCAAAGCAGGTTAAAGCAGTGTCTAAGTCAGAGACAAAGACACAACAGAGAGTAGCAAGCCAAGGTAATGCAGAAGCACTCATTCCTTGGAAGCCAGACAACCAGAGAGGTACACTGGTGAAACCAGTGGTGGGGAGTTCCAAGGGTGGAACTGAAACAACAGGGGACTGTTATATGTATAACAACTGTTTGTTTTCTTCTCTGGATCATGTTTTGCCTATTGATGCTTTTGGGGGAGGATGTCAGGAAAAAGCACCAAGGCAAAAGCCAGCTCCAGATGGCTGGAATGCAAAACAGGATGTTATGTTTTGCAGATGTACTGTTGGAGAAAAGGTGGAGCCTATTCTCTGTACTGAGCACCGGATGTTAGCTCAGAGTGTCATCTGACCTGTACTGGAAGTACAGGGGCGGAGGGTTGTGACTCTCCTAATGGAGTCTGAAGGGTGCAGTCACGATTCTATGTGCTGCTGAGCAACAGGAATAAAAGTCATGTAAAAAGACTCCTGTCTGTCTCATTTCCCCTCCTGGGGGGGGGGGAAGCAAGGAGAGAGAAGCAGAGGGTGTGTTCTCCTCATGTCTAATGAGGAGAATCGCCGGTTTGTTTACCTAGTCTGCCGGGAGACGCAGACGGAAGGTAAGCAAGTATCTCGCTCAATTGCCTCGGGGGAGGCCAGGTACCTCTGCCTGTGAGCCGAGATACTAACACTGTCCCGGAGCAACGCAAACCCAATCGGTGAACTCCAATAAGGCTACAGAGTCAGTGGCGTTTTGCCCACAGTGGCAGAATGTCTTCGGCCAGCCCTGGGTTCAATCTTCTGAACCACAGAATTCACTTGGTGTCCTTCAACAAGACCCTCTTCTGGTCTGCATGTAGATTATTGCCTTCAAGTTGTGCTACAATTATGAATCAGGATGTTCAGTTGTAGCTCCATATCTCCCGTGGATTTTACTGTTTGGTGGCAGGGGACTTGCAAACACGTGCAACCCTAATACAATTTATGTGCTGCCTCCTAGAAGTTGTTTTAAAGTTGTAACAATAAGGTGAAGGACCCCTGGATGGTTAAGTTCAGTCAAAAGTGACCATGGGGTATGGTGCCCACATTGCTTTCAGGCCGAGGGAGCCGGCATTTGTCCACAGACAGCATGAGTAAACCACTTCTGGCACAACGCAATACCATGACGGAAGCCAGAGCACATGGAAACACCATTTACCTTACCGCCACAGTGGTAACTATTTATCTACTTGCACTGGTGTGCTTTCGAACTGCTAGGTTGGCAGGAGCTGGGACAGAGCAACAGTAGCTCACCTCGTTGCAAGGATTCGAACCACTGACCTTTTGATCAGCAAGCCCAAGAGGCTCAGTGGTTTAGGCTGGGACCTTAGGTTGAAGGGTAAGTAAGTAAAGAAATTGCCACTACTAGTAGTAATACAGTGCCCATCATCCATGACCATTGGCCATGCTGGGTGGGTCTTATGGGAGCTGTAGTCCAAAACATCTGGATGGAACCACATTTTCTCTCCCTGTCTTGGATTAATAACGTGCTTTCTGTGGGTTCTGTCCTGGAAATGTCAAGCTACACTGATAGGAGTTGGTTAGCAAGGTGGGTGGGTCTTTAAGGCCACTATTTTAGGAAACACCAACAATTACTGCATATATTGAGTATAATGGGTAGACCAGAGATGTGGAACCTGAGGCACTCTAGATGTTGTCAGATCACAACCTCCATCAGCCCTTAACACAGCCTATGTTGGTTGGGGCTGATAGTCCAACAACATTCAGAGCCACAGGTTCCCCATCCCTGGTATAGACCAATATTACTGGAAGAGGTAGGTCTTCTGGGAACCTCTGTATTCTGTACAAAAGCTACCATTCAGTGGATGCTTAATTTTTTTAAACAGCACTAGCTGCAAAGAGTGAAGAATCTAATAATATGTACTGTACACAAACATCTTTTTTAAAATTATGCTTCCTACCAAAACTCAGCACAGCCTTTTTGAAGCTTTGAGGTAGTTGAGAGACAGCATGTGTACAAAAGATCCTAAATATCAGTTACCTAAATTTTGTGCATTCTTTCATCTTAATTCCAATGTGAAAGTCTCTTCATTAATCTCAGCGGGTGCTTGTCGGGCTTTGAGTACACAGCAGGGACCACATGTTCCTGGAAAAAAGCCAGCCTTCCCCATTTCCTTTGCTTGACAAAGTGCCTTGCAAGAATATAGTGTGATGCACACAGAGCAGTCTCAGCTTAACAAAATATTATCCTTAGACACATATATTTCTGAAGAGATGCTGAGTGTTCCAGACATCAGAGGTACAAAAGTTACAATCTCTTTATGACAATGCTATTTCACTTTTTCTCATCTTGAATAAATAACAGTGTGTGCACATTTATGCTGTAGCACAGAAGGATACCATAGCCCACTTTAAAATATTAAGTGGTATATAGTTTTAAATAAACTACTAAATAGAGCTGGATAAAGTGCAGGAAAGGACAGCTAACATACATTATTATGGGGCTGGCACAACTTCCCTACTAGAAAAATCCAAAGAATTCTTGGTTTGAAAAGAGATGGATAATGGGAATAATAACAGAACGGTGGCTTTCAAAATTTATTTGGATAAGTCTGAGATGCTTGAAATCTTCTTTTAAAGCTTTATCAGTAGTTCCTCAGTGAGAATATACATTACAGTGGTACCTCTGGTTACGAACTTAATTTGTTCTGGAACTCCGTTCTTAACCTGAAACTGTTCTTAACCTGAGGTACCACTTTAGCTCATGGGGCCTCCCGCTGCCGCCGCCACGCAATTTCTGTTCTCATCCTGAAGCAAAGTTCTTAATGTGAGGTGCTACTTCCAGGTTAGCGGAGTCTGTAACCCAGGGTGTTTGTAACCCGAGGTACCACTGTACTTATTTGTAAACTACCCTGGCAATATTTAAGGATAGTAAATAAATCCATTGCATAAGAAGTAATCAGTAAAGCTTGCCTGAGAGATGTACACAAGGTGGTAAATCTATGTCTGGACTTTATACAAAATAATTCCCCACACACCAGGGGAAAGAGTTCTGGAGTGGCCTGCCTGATATATTAGTTCTCTCTGTGCAGAGATTTATCTGTTTAATTTTGTATATAGGAGCATTCAGCCATGTGAACACTCACCTGTAGCCTGACGTGGTATAATCCAGACACAAGCTTACCACATACCCTGCAAGTGTCCCGATTTTTCAGGGACAGTCCTGGAATTACAAAAGCCATCCCAGCTTCTGATTTGATCTAGGAAGGTTCCTGTTTCCCCTGCTAGTGCTGCTGCCACTGAGCTCAGGGAGGAGGATGAGCCAGCACCTGTGCCGAGCTGACGGCAGTGGCAAGGGGGCACCCTGTCGCCTCTCCATCGGAGGCGGAGCTAGCTGCTCCGGCACCTGGAGTGGTACACATTCTGTGCACCCGGGGATGGCGGGGCTAGCCACCCCCAGGGGTGGGGGCGAGCAGTGAGTGTCCCAGGGGGTACTGCAAGTTGCAAGTATCCCAGAGGGGTGCTGCGAGCTGCGAGCCAAGACCGTCCCAGGGAGGGGGCGTGAGTAGTGAGCATATCAGGGGGTTGCCACCCACGGTGAGCGGCGAGCAGCTCAGGGGGTGTCGTGAGTGTCAAGTGTCTCGGGGGGGCGCTGCCCACGGTGAGCATCCCAGGGGGGCACGGCCCATGGCGAGCGTCCCAAGGGGGCGGCAATGTCACCCCCCCAGGGATGACACCCAGGGCGGACCACAACCACCGCACCCCCTTCCTCCGCCAGTGCTCTCCATAGCTGCTGCTGCTGCCAGTCTCCTCCCTGGGGCAGTTCGTAGTCGCTGCTAGAGAGCGGGAGGAGAGGGGAGAGGCTGCCACTGCCAAGGCCCAAGCCCACGTGATGTGCCAGCTTTGAGGGGCAGGCAGAGAGCAGGGCCGTCCTGGGTGGGAATACACAGGGAGCAGAGTGGAAAGGGAAATGGTTAAAAGCCCACATTTGGGGACCAAACCTTGTTGAAATGAATTGAAACGCCAAATGCATAAACAGGACAAAATGGAATTATGGGTGATCACATGTCAAAATGATGTGGGCAGACTGGAAATGTCCATCCCTACTGACCAAAGTGGATTCTCACCAGTATCCCAGACATACCTGCAAATTTGATGTGGAACTTGTTTTCAGGCTTCAGTATCTGAACATACAGAGGACAGTTTGGTGCAAAATCTTTGACAGCCCAAGCTCTTAAAATAGTCTGATGATCCTAGGATGAAACAGAAGACGCCATGTAAGACAAACGTGTTTTCTAAAGCTCAAAATGGGAAATAATAATAATAATGGGATTTATCATGTTGGTTGAACTAACAGGTCATTGCTATTATGTTTTAAGAGAACCTTCTTGTTGGGACATATATGTTGGGAATTATCACTCCAGATTTCATACTTTTATTTATTTAGTGTAATGAAAAAGGAATTCCCATGGCTGTCACACCAACAATCAATTATAATAAAAATTACAGGTAGATGCTATTGTCAAGAATAACACAAAGTGAGTGAGACTCGCAGGCTTCTCTCTTGGATAATTTTAATATAAATCAGTTGACCAAATAAAGATTTAGGAACATTTCCTGGCTCACTTAGGGTTCCAAATAAATTTGGGAAACAGATCAAGGTATCCTGGGCCTTGCAACTTCCCTCAGCTACTAATGTTTAGCATTGACATATGGTAAGAATGAGGAATTTGTGACCCTCCAGATGTTGTTGGACTACAACTTCCATCAGTCTCGGCCAGTATAGTCAATGGCATAGGATTATGGGAGTTGTAGTCTGGCAACATCAAGAGAGCTACAGGTAATGCAACAATTACTGTTACATGAACCCATTAAAGTAATAAACAGGATTATTATCCCCTCATTGTAATGGAAGGGCGAGACTGAGACTGAGTCAATACAGACGACGAAGAAGAAGAAGAAGAGTTTGGATTTGATATCCCGCCTTTCACTCCCTTTAAGGAGTCTCAAAGCGTCTAACATTCTCCTTTCCCTTCCTCCCCCACAACAAACACTCTGTGAGGTGAGTGGGGCTGAGAGACTTCAAAGAAATGTGACTGGCCCAAGGTCACCCAGCAGCTGCAAGTGGAGGAGCGGAGACGCGAACCCGGTTCCCCAGATTAGGAGACTACCGCTCTTAACCACTACACCACACTGGCTCTCACATAAGGGCATGTAGTAAATGTTTGAATGAGGCAAAAATTGAGTTGGGAGAACTGCTGGCTTGTAGAGTTTCCACTATTTGCTGGTACACCAGCTCTAAATATAAAATAATTGTGTTATTATGGATACTAGCATTGAAATTGGTAAGTGTCCATGACAGCTACACAACCACCTTACAAGCTGAATCTCACCCTTGATGGAGGACATAGTTTCACAGTATAATTGTTTCTCTGCAATGATAGGGGGAAACCACTGATTCTCTAATGCAGCTAATGTAGAACTGCACCACCATATACCACCATATATGAAATATCCTCCTCAGTTGTAATTCTTAATTGATCCTATCCAATATTAAAAGGGCATGAAAGAAACAGAAAATTCAAGAAAACCCTTATTGGACAAAGCGAACAATTTGCCATATATTGGAGATTAATATTTTGGCCTATCATCTCTGCACATCTGTCAATGACCACATGTGATCCCGAGGCAATGTTTGTAATCTGAAGAAAAATTTCTGTGGTGTAGGAATATTTTGGTAAGAGAGAGTTTTCTTCAAAAATAAACAATCAATTGTGAAGCTGCTCTTGCTATTTAAATATAGTAGAAAACTCAATAATCCTGGGCATTTGTGCGGGTTCTTTTAGAGATTGCCCTTAAACATCCTCCTTTCTCCTTATGAGATTGGAAATCCATGCTTAACAAGCACTCAGCTCAGATGCATACCACATGCATACCATTCTGTTAGAAGAGTGAGCAGCTGTACCTAGTCTTGGTCCTCTGTTGAAATATACAATAGGATCATTTTTGGTCATATATATATATATATATATATATAAAGGTAAAGGTAAAGGTACCCCTGCCCGTACGGGCCAGTCTTGACAGACTCTAGGGTTGTGCGCCCATCTCACTCAAGAGGCCGGGGGCCAGCGCTGTCCGGAGACACTTCCGGGTCACGTGGCCAGCGTGACAAGCTGCATCTGGCGAGCCAGCGCAGCACACGGAACGCCGTTTACCTTCCCGCCAGTAAGCGGTCCCTATTTATCTACTTGCACCCGGGGGTGCTTTCGAACTGCTAGGTTGGCAGGCGCTGGGACCGAGCAACGGGAGCGCACCCCGCCGCGGGGATTCGAACCGCCGACCTTTCGATCAGCAAGTCCTAGGTGCTGAGGCTTTAACCCACAGCGCCACCCGCGTCCCTATATATATATATATATATATATATATATATCACATACAAACACAAAACACATGTTCTGATGACATTAATATAAGTCTAGAAGGAAAATTTGTACAAATCAGAAAATTTGATCGAAAAAATCTCTAAAAATTGTTCTAAATTGTTTAGATGAGGTATTGGGGCTCAAGTTAAAGGTAAAGGTACCCCTGACCGTTAGGTTCAGCAGTGGACGACTCGGGTTGTGCGCTTATCTCACTCTATAGGCTGAGGGAGCTGGTGTTTGTCTGCAGACAGCTTCCAGGTCATGTGGCCAGCATAACTAAGCCGCTTCTGGAGAACCAGAGCAGTGCACGGAAACGCCATTTACCTTCCTGTTGGAGCGGTACCTATTTATCTACTTGCACTTGACATGCTTTCAAACTGCTAGGTGGGCAGGAGCTGGGACCAAACAATGGGAGCTCACCCCGTTGCAGGGATTCGAACTGCTGACCTTCCGATCGGCAAGCCCTAGGCTCTGTGGTTTAGACCACAGCACCACCCGCATCCCAACAGGGCGCAAGTTAGAACCATCCTATTCATAACTGGGCATGCCAGTGGAGGATAACTTAACAGAAGTGCTATGTTGGCTATATAATTATTAAATTACCATGTTGAGAAAACATAAAGTTAGACATTTTCAACCAAAATTGTTATAACAAATCACATATACACACACACTTAAATATATGGGTTGTGTTTGATTAAATTATACAGAGTAGGCCCACTGAAAATAATGGATCTGTTTTAGCCATGTCAATTAATTTCATGGCTCTGTTCCAAGTAGGACTAATGTTGAATCAAACCTGAGAAGGATGAGGATGGGTTGGTGGAATTTACTCATAAAAGACCAATAAATTCATCTAGTTTCCAAGAAATTTCATGTGTCTATATCTATGTATATTTCACTTTCATTTCATAATTCTACAATCAATTACTCTTAGCAAATATAAAGAGCTTGACTCAACAGGACTCAAATCAATCAAACAGTGCTAATACATTAAAATGCTCCATTTTTGAATTGCTGTTAACGTCTAAAACGTTATTATCGGAGCTCCATATCAGTTTTTTCTCCTTTTTCCATTTTCAAAGTACAATTGATGGTAATTTCTGAGACCTAATGATGCTAAGGAATGAAATGGATTGTATAATCATAAGCTTGCTGGTGTCAGGAAAAGAGATAGAAAGAACATCACCAGATAGGAAGGGCTTCCTTGGTTTGGTACCCCTATTAAAATCTCAGTCAAAAATTCAGGACCATAGATACTTTCAAATAACAGTGCTAATAATTGCAGTTGGAGTAGAATAAGTCAGTTCTCACAGAGAAATAAAATAGTGATATAATGGGTTCCAAACCCAAGAATTTGAGGCTCTGCAACAACTATTTGATTGGTGATGATATGTTATGTTAAAATGGCTTCCAAGACTTCCAATGGCTTCCAAGGCAGGAACACCTTTCAGATTTATTCATTTATTAAGTTAAGAATGGTCTGAAAGTGAATAAACCTTCCTGATCCAGAACTCAAAAAAGCAGCAGTAGGTCAGGGTCTGAGACAGAGAGGGACATCTCCCTCACAATTCAAAAGACAAGACCTCCAGGATACAACATATTCCTCAGCGTGTCCTAGGTACATTCATAAAGAATGTTCCAGCAGTAATTGCAGGCCTACTGCCTGAGCACAATGCTATATATTAAAAAGTTGCTTCAGGGAAACTCAGAAGCGCTTGATGGGCAGTTTTGCCAGTTATGACATTCTCAGTGCATTCAACAAGAGGAAAATACTAACCAATTCCAGGAACAGAGGCAACAACACAGTGATAGAAGAAAATAGAACACAATGCCCTGGTTCTACCTGAAGAATATTAGGCAACTGAGTTAAAGGACCAGTAAATAGTATATAAAAATGTGGAGTCCCTTGCTCCATTTATACTGCTTATGGGGAAGTCACTGAAATGTGCCTCTTCTCTGTGCCCAGAGGTCCACAGGGTGTAAAACCATTTCCATGAGGGGTGGAAATATAGATTACATTTGAGGATATTTATTCAAACCTATTTCCTTCTATCTAAATGTAAGGTTTTTGGAGATTTGCTGGAACTAATCAGAAGCCTGGTTGGAACTTAGACAAAAAAAACAACCCAACATTGTGCACAATGAGACAATGGTGGTCCAGACCATGTACTACAAGAGGAGTGGAAGAGAAAGAACGCACACGGACAGGAAATTCTGGGATGTATAGTTAAAGCAACATGCTCTCTTACCCACTACAAGTCCCAGAATTCCTGCCAGCACTTCCAGCGCACAGGAAAAGAAGGGTTGTCAGGACATGGTACCAAAAAGAAGGGACAGAGCACTCATACAAAAATCGACAACAGGTGTGTTAATTGTGGGACTGAGGCCTCTACAACTCCCCCTCCCCCAATGTCCACTGGGATGGAGCTCAGCCCCCCCCCCGTCATCACACATGTAACACACATGTCACACTCACAGAAAGTTCATCATGCACGTGACATCAGCCCCCCCCCCCCAATGTTGGGTGCAACTCAAACCCCAAAACATAGGTAGGTGGGTTTTTTCTTCTTCACCAAGCATAGAAGAAGTGAAACCAGATTTCAGAAACAGAGAACAGTGTATAAAAGGGACTGTCTCTCAAGACAGAAGGATGTCAGCAATTGCCTGGGAGGGATTTTTAATTTTTTTTTTAATGTCCTCAGATGAGCTATGGTTGCTTCCGCACACCACATCTACACCAAAATATATATCTAGTAGAATTTAAACCCAGGATTATTCATGCCCTACACAAAATATTGTGTTCCTAGAACAAGCAGCTAGATCCCAAG